TGCTGGCTTGAGTACTTAGTAGAGATTTCAGTTCAGAACTGAGAAATAAGAATTCTGAAGGGGCCTGCCTTGATCTATGGCCATCATAGACTGGAGACCTAGTGGATGGAGTGTGTCATCAGCAACAAACCAATGTACTTGAGCCTCCCAGCTCTTCTCAAGGGCATGAGTGGGAGCTTGTTAGTTCTGAGCCTGGAGGTCTGATCTCCGCTCTCCTGAGACTCTTCACTTCTGCTTCCATCCAGGTCAGTATCTTTGATCTGACAAGTCTATTTATGTTAGAGACCCAGTTGGGTAGGAGTTCTCAAATCCTAAAACCCCCAAACCTTAAAACCTTAAACCCATACAAAGACAGAACTGCCAGCCATGTCTGTGCAGTGTTTAAAAAAAACATAAACAATTTTTAATCATAAGTATAATCTCATATGGCCCAAATGGTTTTAGATTTATAAAACATGACTTCATCTTAGCAAGAACTCATTCACTGCTACTCCTTTATCTTCCATGTCCCAACCAGGATTCCCAAGGGCCAGACCCACAGATGGAAGAGGAGGGTCGTTTATGCAGAGGCATACTACAGAGCTGGACAGTTTGAGATTTCAGTCCTGGCAGCAAGTTATCTGTTGACTTGCAAATGACCCCAGATCTTCCTGGTTGTCAGAGGCTGAAGTAGGAGGCAATACAAGTGGTGGCTAAGATAACGGCTATAACAACATTATTATTTTCTTTAGGACTTACTATATATATTAGGTACTATTCTAAGTGCTACCCATGCTTTATTCACTAATTCCTCACAACAATCTGTAAGGACTGTTTGAATAGGAACTATATCCCCATTTTTCAGAAGAATAAACAGGTTTATGGAAGCCAAGTTGCTGAGTAAAATTCCCAGCTAGTAATTATGAAGTTGTCTAGAAGGCTGACTCTAGAACCCAACACTCTGTGGCTGATTAAAAGTCATTGTTAGTCACCAGATGGAGATGCATTTCATTCCTGGGATCCTTTATCATTAGTTATGATATCAAGAGTGGTTTTCCTTTACTCACTGGCTTATCTGGGGTCTGACGTTCTCTTACCTTCGTAAAATGTCATGCAGTTTGCAGAGCCATGGAATTCTGTCCTGAAATTAAAACAAACACAAAGTGGCTTTTCCAGATACTATTTGTACAGAAACATGTTCATATCATGTTCATCAATGTTAGGGTCCAGAGAAATCTCAGTGGTTTTGAGGAGAAGGCCATGCACAGGCTGAGGAGTTAAGTGATTGGGCAGTCAGCACAGAAACATGTTCCTGGTCCAGGTGTCAGAGGCTCTTTCCACAATGATAGAAATTACCCTAAAATGCCAGTATGTATCTCCCCCATTTTAATCGTCCCATTATAAATACACTTTCTTTGGTTCTGATATGTTTGTGTGTGTGTGCACTAAGTCGCTTCAGTCGTGTTTGACTCTTTGCGACTGCCAGGCTCCTCTGTCCATGGGGATTCTCCAGGCAAGAAAACCGAAGTGGGCTGCCATTTCCTGATATACTTACAGATCTTTTATTGTCCTGCATGATTCTTCAGGTGCTTCTGATCTCAAATGCAGAGTTATTCATAGAAACTCTTAAGTCAGCTGCCCCCTGGTCCTATTCTTCAAACCCTCCAAAAACAAAGCTCCTCTTGGATAAAAGTATTGTGAGAATTTTGTATTTTTCCAGAGAAGGCAGAAGTTTGCATAGGACACCCTAGAGTGTTACACAAAGAAGTTCCCCTGGGGTAAATACTGATTGGCCATGATGCATTAAAAAAAAAAACCCAAACTTTTTATTATGCAAATTTAAAACATATACAAAGACAAAATGGTACAAAACAAACTTCTCTGTACCCATAACCTAGGTTTAATGATTTTCAGCTCACAATCTGGTCTTCTATATGTCCCAACCCCCACCCTTTATCATTTTGATGCCTATTCAAGACAGATGATGTCTTTTATTATTTAAGACTTTTTTTTTTGGCTGCTTTGGGTCTTCATTGTGGTGTGCAGGCTCTCAGGTTGTGGTGTGCAGGCTTAGTTGTGGTATGCGGGATCTTGGTTCTCCAAATAAGGATTGAACCCACCCCTGCATTGGGAGCATTGAGTCTTATCCACTGGACCATCAGGCAAGTCCCCATGATGCATCTTTAAAAGTCCTTGCTCTTAACATTTGATTACTACCATTTTATTTAATTTTTGTATTTGTATAATTGAGACTGACTTGCATTTGTTTTCTTGTGTAGTCCATATTAAATTTTGTTATCAAGGTTATCCTAGCCTCCTAAAAATAAGGACAGCTTTCCTTCTTCCTTCTCTTCTTTGAAACAGCTTGTATACAATATATTATTTTTATGGACAAAATGTTTTTGTTTCCCCAAAATTCATACCCCCCATGTGAGAATATTTGGAGGTTTAGATGAGGTCATGAGGATGAGGTCCTCATGATGGGATTAGTGCCCTTATAAGAAGAGACCAGTGAGCTAGTATATACGCTTTCTCTCCTGCTGCTGCCCTCCCTTTCAGCCACCCAGCAGAGATACAGAGAACCTCCAAGCTCAGAATAAACAAGAAACTGACCATGCTGGCATCTTGATCTTGGACTTTCACCCTCCAAAACTGTGATAAATACACGTCTGTTGTTTAAGTCACCCAGTCTATGTTATTTTGTTACAGCAATCTGAGCTGAGTGAAACTCATCTGAAAATACTATCTGGGCCTTTTATTTATTTTTTTTGAGGAAAGATCTCTGATTACAGATTGAATTTCTTTAATGAACATTGTATTATATTCAGATTTTTCTATTTTTAATTCAGCTTTGGTGACTGAATACTTTAGAATCAACAAGGTCATGTTTTCACTTGGTGACAGGGGAGGGCTGAGCAGACTGTGTCCCTGAGCATTGTAATCCTCACTTGAAGAAAGTCTTCCCTTATATACTTTACACAAGTCCTCACACTTAGGTTCAGGTCTAGCTCCATGCCTCATAGAGGTATCATCTCCCATCTCTACAGGAACATAAAAAATTGTACTTCCCACCCTCCTGGCTTATATGCATTCCCAAAGCCTGGAGGAAGAGGTTATTTAGGTTTAATTAAATCTTGCTACTTTGATTCTGGCACCTGAGAATTTCTCGTTTTGCTTTTGACCTTGGTTAAGCCCTTGGTTATATCCCCCATCCCACTCCCCTAATCTTTTCCACCAGGAGCCTTTCAAGTTCTCCAGCTCTAGGTGAGGTCTTTCAGCTCCTGAATATTTCCCCTGGGCTTCGGCTTTCCCTATTTCTTATTCAGAGTAACTAGCTCCACAGTGAGTGAAAGGTTCATTCCACCAAGGCCATCACTCTGTGCTCAGCAAACTAAAGACCTTCCAGTTACTAGGATCCACCCTTGTCAGGAAGCAGAGAAGGATTTTGTACACACAGATACTACATGCACACATACTACATGCACACATGCTACACATACATACACAGTTGTAATTTTTTCATTATATGTATCTTTTCATATTAAATAATATTTTAAAAAAGCACTGTGATCTAATATTGGGTTAAGAGTCCTGGAAGTTTTTATTAGTCACAGAATTTTTTGAAGACTTTACTTCTGTGTACATATTACCCAATCAGAGACCACTTAGAAGTTCAAATGCAACAGCTATAAAATCTGCAGAAGGCAGAGATCAAATGACAACTATTACCTAACTTACAAGAATGGTATCTTAAGTAACAGTAACTACATGATTCACAGATATTATTACTCAAATTATAACAGCTACTACAATGTACACATGATAGCTCAAATGTATTTAATGAAACACTTGTTAATGTTAGCACTTGTCTGAGTAGTCAGTGAACCCAGTGTGGTTATTTCTAAACAAAGTAACAAGATGATGAGGCTTACCAGTTCTAAACTTGCAGACCATAAAGAACTTTGTGCTCTATGGGGAGACTTACATGCTCCTGGAAAAGAGTGTATATGTTTAAGGCTTATTCTTGGCAAGATTTTCTGACATCATACTCAAAAACTAAATGTTCTAGAGAAGTCTGAGAAGAAAAAAAGTTGTAGCAGCTATACTTATGGAACTTGAAATTGCCACTGTAACACAGTATTTTCTAGACTTAAGATGGGGGTCAGGGAAGAACAGTGTCAAGGGTTATAGGTAGTGGGGAAAACTAGCTGGACTTACTGAGCCGTGCAGTATTTTATGATGTAAAATTGCCCATGGGAAAGCTGCCAACTCAAGCCCAGATTTGGATTTCCCTTTCCTTCATCCATTTGCAAGTATCTGTTGTGTGCTTAGGGAGACCCAGACACTATTCTGGGTCCTTCCTTTCAATCCTCTACACACGATCACCCTGAGTTTAACTTCTAAGATTCCATTTGCACCCAACTTTCTAAATTCCTTTCTCTTCTGTATTTTCATTGTGAATAGCTAAGCTTTTCTACTACATTCATGAACTAACAGGGATAAAAAAAGAAAACACTATTATTTATACATAGAGTTAAACAAATTTTTTTAAACCTCTTGGCTATATCTTCCAAAACAGCTTCTCCAACAGAAGGCTGCAGCAGAGCAGGGTGACTGGGCCTAGAGACTCACATGTCAGCAGCATGAGCAGTTTCCTACCTAGGACCCAGACCGACAAAGACATGGTGCCTTTCAAACCTTAGGAAGGGCTGCACAGGCAACTTACATGGTAAAGTGGTGTACTAATCATTAATGGGTGATTTACATGTAAATCACCTCAGTGATTTACCTCAGTGTGTGTTTTACATGTAAATAGAGGTGTCTGGCTTCAAGTTTAAGAAATGATGTCAACTTCTAGAAAGTTGGGGCTTCCCTGGTGGCTCAGAGGGTAAAAGCGTCTGCCTGCAATGCAGGAAACCCAGGTTCGATTTCTGGGTTGGGAAGATCCCCTGGAGAAGGAAATAGCAACCCACTCCAGTACCCTTGCCTGGAAAATCCCATGGATGGAGAAGTCTGGTAGGCTACATACAGTCCATGGGGTCACAAAGAGTCGGACACGAATGAGCAACTTCACTTTCACTTTCTATAAAGTTAAGGAGTCTTCTTACAGCATATGGGGGCCGCAGTGAGATAACCTTCCTAAGCACTTGGACAAGAAGGAAAGAAGCTTGTTCTTTAAGGCTTTAAAGATCAACACTTAACAGAAAGGGACAGAGATGTCTAAACTCATCTGAAGAAGTAAAAAGTGACCCTCAGGCTAGCGGTGCATCACTATGATCCAACTATGTATTTGAACACACATAAAGGAAGCACATGAGGCTTGGGTGTACAAGTCCAGGGCAGGAACACTATAGGATCAGACAGCAGAGTAATGGAGTTCTGGCCTTATGACTTCAAATATCATGGTCTCATTAGCAAACGTCTTCGTCTAATGGGGTGGGTGGTCTCACACCATTAGAAACTTAAGTTTTAACTTTCCTACTCTTTTGATTGCATGTTCACTGAGCTACCTGACTGCATTTTGGCTTATGAAATCAGATTGATGTGTTATGGGCCACGTGGCAGTTAAATTTCTCCTTGTAAATTAATCAACTGGCATTCTGGTTTTATGTAGAAATCTTGTGAACCTGACTAGTGGGGTTCTCATATGAGACATGAACCTGTGTTCAATGTGTTGACAGTATCAAGGGTTGAGCCAGCAAGACAGCCTGACTGCCCTGGTCCCATCTGGGCAGTCAGGCAGCCTTTTCCACAATGCATCCCTGTCACTGTGCATGTCTCTAGGTGAAACAAAATCCTGAGACTAGTGCTGTGATGAGCTGAGACTAGTGCTGATCTCCATTCAGCAAGAATATTTGGCTTGGAAGGGGTAGTAGGAAGGTCGCTCAGTCGTCTCCGACTGTTTGCGAGTCCATGGACTGTATAGCTTGCCAGGCTCCTCTGTCCATGGAATTCTCCAGGCAGGTATACTGGAGTGGGCTGCCATGCCCTTCTCCAAGTTGGAAGGTTCAGACAGTCAAATGCTAATTCACATATTCAGTATTCACATACCTACTTAAGAGTTCAAGAAGCAATTATAATGATGCATTAGGACTGATTCACAGATGAAAACACAACAAAAAATGAACTATACTTCTGCATGAGCAAAATGTTCATAGTGGGTTTGGATGCACCAAGGAAGGGGGATAATTTGTTTAATTTCTAGTACTTTAGATATCTTACCTTTCTTCCCACTAGCAGAGGAGCAACCTTGTGTTTTGTTATTTTAATTAGATTGCACAATTCTTCCAGCCCATCAGCACCAAATCTCTTTGTACAGAGATCAATCTCTGTATTATTTTATGGCTTAGGAAACATGTTATTGCATTAAGCTTGATATTGACTTTATTAGTCATTATATTTTCTGCATGACTGAAATATTTCACAATAAGGATGAAACAAACGAATTAAAAAAAAAAAACAGAAAACATAATTGGGTAATAAACTTTCTACCCTTTGTACAGGTAAACAGAACTTTACTTTGAATCCCTGCTTTTTTATTATTTTACCAGTGTCTAAATACGTGCCTTAGCTAAGAATTAAGCATGTTGCTTCATTTAGTCACAATAAAATTCCTCAGAAGCTCAACAATGAAAACTAATATTAATAAATGGAATGATAAAACAGAAATAGATGCTTTCAGACATCTGCCCCCAATCAGAATGCATGTTGGACCAGTTTATTCACAGCACCAGTAAGGTCTGGGTCCACCAGCCACAAAATCAGTGAGAGAAGGCTGGAGATAGCAATGAAGTACTTTCAACTTTATTTTACAGAAGTTTCCAAGTCACAGTTATTACGCAGTTGGGATCCTTCTCTAGAGGGTCACAGGGGGCCACAAGGACAGAGTTCTTCCGGAGCCGCTCCAGGTGCTACGTGAATTCCCGGGTGGACACCAGCATTCTCATCCCTGGTCTGCGTAAAGCCAGGCGTCACCTGCCCCAGGTACCCATCCAGGGCTAGGTCCCTCCAAGGGATGCGCTCGCTGAGGGCTGCGCCTCTCTCCTGCTCTCTCTCTCACCCTTCCCCTCTCCGTTTAACCAACCCCGATTCATTCCTCATAGACTGGGTGTGCGTGGAGTATCAGGGCCTTTAACACAGTACAAAAAGTAGGGTCTTAGGGGTTAGAGATCCCCTTTACTCTGTGCCTTTGCTCAAGTTACTTAGCTTCTCTGTGCCTCCCCTTGTTCATCTGCAAAATGGGGAATCATGTAATTCACTGGTCTGCTTTGGGATTTAAACAGGAAAAGGAGTAGACTTCATTTTAAACATTATTTTGGGGGGCTGATTTTATAACTGCAATAAATGGCATCAATTTCCAACTTTGAATATGGAAAAGACCTTTAATAAATGAATTTGGTACGCAGTAGGTTCTAATTCCACAAATAGTATTTAATATGTGCAAAGCGCCATAGAGAGCATTGGGAATGTAATATGAATGGTGTGGTTCCTGTCCTCAAGGGGGTCACAGCCTGATGACGGGTATCTATCAGTTAAACTACACGTAAGGCAGAGATGAGGGTTCCAAGAGATATACTTAGAAGGGCTTTGACTGGAGAGTAGAGGGAGAGATCAATTTTGATCAGGCCCTCGGAAGACTAAATCTTCAAGGATAAAGAGGATTTTAATGGAACCAGGGCCTGCCAAGCAGAGGGCAAGGTAAGACTGGGAGTATGAAATATTAAAGATGGTTTGCCAAGACTCTACAGTAAACGGATGAGGCAGGAGCTTAGCACTGACAACCAAGCGTGGGAGTTGCTGTGAGGAGGGTGAGGAGAAACTGTCAGGACTAGACAGTCGAGACTCTGAGTGAGCTGCTAAGGAGTTTGGCCTTTCCTGTCGGGTCTTAGGGAGGACCTGGACACTTGAGCTCCAGAGTCTGTATTCATAATGTTTATGAAGAAAGGGGGAAGACTGAGATCTCCTCTTCACAGAGGCAGAAACTGAGGCCAAACAGGGAGATACTAGAGCAAATTCACTGAGTTCTGTGTGTAAACACTACAGACAATATCATAATTAGTGAAGTCAAACACAGAAAGAGAGGAGGAAACAACATAACCCAGAGGGGCATCCAAGCTTACTGGGTCGCTATTCTGGGTCCCTTCATCCCCGACAGTCCCTACATGCAGGGATAGGGGTGCAGTGTACCTGAGCCCCCAGCCCAGGACTTAAGTACTGAGGGCTAAAGGAGAGCATCATGAGGATAGAGACCGCTTCCTTGGCCTATCTGGAAAGAGAAAGTGTCTTCTGGAAGGGGATGATAATAAAAGGGCAGGCGCTCAGAGGAACAGATGGAAGAGGAGTGTCTAGCACTGCTGGGGGAGGTGGAGAGAGGGCAAGGGAAGTGGGAGGGGGGCAGTGGCGGTGAGGGACCGGTTTTATCTGGTGCAAAAGTGAACCTAAGCCCATAGAGGGAAAAAATGCATACAAACAAAGTACATACCCTGAAAGGTGGGTATATGTATCAAATTCAATCAGCAGGTAGTTTTGGAAGATGAAACCAAGGCTGATATATTCTGTGAAAGAATTTGTAGGCATTGGTCAAATGTTTTATACAGGATAAGTATTATATTTGTAATCAGAAACAAAACTGTCCAAAACCTCTCTTTTAAAGACTCTGAGGTTGAAGTCTGCTCAAGCATCACCCCATGGGCTGCCAGAACAGCATGGTGCTGGCACCAGGGAGACTCACTGACAGACAGCTTGGAAATCATCATCTCCTCATGTTAACCGTGCATCCCTGCCTGGATGGCGTATCTTTCTCCACCAGCGCTGTCCAACAGAGCTTCCTGCCCTGATGGAAATGTTCTCTACCTGCGCTGTCTGGATTGGTAGCCACCAGCCACACGTGGCTTTTGAACACTTGAAGTATGGGCAGTGCAATCCCGGAACTAGAGTTTACATTTAACTGAAATAGGCTTAAGGTGCCCGTGTGTATTCAGCTCAGGTTCTTTATCTTCAAACCTTAGCCTTCTGAGTACAGTTTGTGTGTGTGCGCGCGCGCACTCAGGTTCTTTATCTTCAAACCTTAGCCTTCTGAGTACAGTGTGTGTGTGTGTCTGTGTGTGTGTGTGTGTGTGTTGAGAGAGTCAGTTGTGTCTNACCTTAGCCTTCTGAGTACAGTTTGTGTGTGTGCGCGCGCGCACTCAGGTTCTTTATCTTCAAACCTTAGCCTTCTGAGTACAGTGTGTGTGTGTGTCTGTGTGTGTGTGTGTGTGTGTGTGTTGAGAGAGTCAGTTGTGTCTGACTCTCTGTGACCTCATGGACCTCCCCAAACCATCCTGAGAATCTCCCCCAAGGCATACCATTACCTCTGCCTCTAACAGTCTACCTGATGCTCAGCACAGTATCCTCTGGGGGAGGAGGGCCTGCGGGCTGGTTGCCAGGGCAATGAGGGGGTCATGGTGCCAGCTCAGCTGTGACCCACACCTTCGCTCATGGACTCACTGGGCTCTCATTAAAAGTGTTAGCCATCTGCTGTTTTACTGCATTCCTCTCTGCTTCACTCTAATGTCAGGCAAACTTGTATAGCTTCCTCTGAATATATTTAGTAACTCGTTATGTTTCTTCCAGTAATTGATAACCTTTTCTTCTGTACAATAAATTCCTCTTCTCAATTCTCCTCCTCAGCCCCCCAGCCCCATCAATACTGCTCACTTAACAAGGCTCCCTTGTGAATAAGAGGAACGATGCTTAAATGCCATTATAAAACTCTGTCCATTTGGGGTTGCTTTACTTTGTTCTTTAATTTTGTACTCAGCAAGGGGAAAAAGAAAATAACCCTAGCACAGTCACACTTTACACACTCCGCAGAAAGGATTTACATGTATGTATACAGAGATACGGTGCTAACAACAACAGTAAGAAGTGATATTCACTGAATGCTTCAGGTGTGTCTCTCTGCACACTTTTCAATTTATCTAATCCTCTCAAGGACCCAATAAAATAGATCCTGTCACCATTCCTACGTCACAGGACGAAAATGAGGCACAGAGAGACCAAGCTATTTGCCAAAAGTCACACAAGCTCAGTGGTGGGGCCAAGTTATCTACAGTATGTTTATTATCTCTAGCACAGTATCACTGTTATGTTTAAGTTGTTACTCTGTATCTCCTTTTGGCTGCTCTCCTCCCACCTTCTAAAGTCAAATGTTGTAAACTTAATTTTGATGGTTTAATGTTTAAACATCCATGTTGGAAATAAAAACAGACAGCGCACCTTACCTCGTCATTCAGCGGTATCCCTTTCTGCATCTTCATTCGATTTTCCTCTGGGTGGTAGTCATCTGCATCGTAGAATTTCCATCCTAGCTTTAAGAACAAAGTCAAAGAGGATATGTAGCAGCTCATGCGGCTCATGTGATGTGCACTGTGGGTTCCTAATACTAACTGCAGGTGCAGAAACCACCTGGCCACCCTCTTTCCCACCGGCAGCCACAAAGACCACCCCTCCTCCACCCAGGTGCAGGAGCAGGGAGGTCTGTAAGGATGCTTCACTAATCCCACCCACTGGGTTGCTGCAGCTGTTTTTTTCATTCATCATTATTTTCCATGACCAAGGAGAGAAACAAAATTGCTCCAGGGGGTTTCACAAGCTTTATGGAGGTGTCTGCGGTGAGTTTACAGAACACGCAGGCCAGAAGCAATGAGACAAAAAGATGAGACTCACAACTGGGAGGTGTTAGCACAGGTTACCTCAGATGCCAGCAGGGCGCCCACGGTGGATCTGTGGAAAGGACACAGATGCTAGGTGACTATCCTTTCTCCATCTGCCTCTTCCATCCAAGGAGCCATGGGAAGCACACGGCTTAAACACCAACAACTTACAATATTGAAACTCAGACACGTGCTCCTCACCCTGGAGTCGAGAGCATGGCTTTAGTTTTCTCCAGGAATTTAAATAATTTTCTAGTTATCACTAAATTTTCCCCCAAAAGCAATACATAAGATCTCATTAAACTCCTGAAGTCGCCCCCCTCCACTAAGTTTTTGGTCCCTGTTTTGTAGATAATTATTTTTTGAACAGGATGAGATGGTCGGATAGCATCATGGACTCAATGGACATAAATCTGAGCAAATTAGGAGGTAGTGAAGGTCGCAAGGAGTCGGACGTGACTTAGTGACTGTCAAGTCTCGTCACTACATGGACAATAACTGAATAAAGTGATATATTTTACCGAGGATACTGGAGGCAGGGGTCTGACAGGGAATTTAACCTCTAAGCACCCGCACAAGGTTCATGGAGCTCATAAAAGCATTAAAACATTGGGACTTAAAAGGGACACACCCTTCAAATAAGGGACTCAGAGAATTACCAGCATTCATTATTAAGTATGGGAGTTGAATGCTCTCTGTTCAGACCCTAACAACTACAGGTCAGTGAAGAGGGCTTGGGTTCCAGAGCTTGAGATCTGGCCACAGTCTCCATCTGCCATGAAATGACTATGCCCACCTTGTCGTCTAAACTTGTTTTCTCACCTGTAAAACAAGGGAGCTGAGTTACATCTATCCATTCACTTTCTCATTTCACTCAGCCAATATTTAACAAGCACCTACCAGCTCCCAGGACATAATGCTCAGCCCACTGAGACTGATTTCAGCCATCTTGAGGTTTATAGCTAGTGCAATGTGGGTAGGGATGGAGGCTGGCAGGCGATGAGTTAGAAATGAAGCCCCCTCTTGCTCTCAACTTCTGAGGTATTATCCAAATGCCAATCACTGACATAGAACCTTCAGGATCTTTTTATTGTACCCTCCTACTTCATCATGCCTTCTCACCTAAGTTGTACATGCTACTATTACAATTATGTTATTTTTATTTAATTGCTTCTCTCTTTGAAATTAAACAAATGTGTTAAGGAAGGTTCTTTCCGTCCCTCATACAGGAAGCCATCCTCACTTGCCTTAAGTAGGAGGTAACTGAAAAATGCACACAATGAAAACAAAACATTATGATGAAATTCTATACTGTTAATTACCAAGGGTTCTCTCTCTTTTGTTAAGAAAGTATCAGGAAGGTGTTAAACAGACACACTGAGACCTCCTCCCTAAAATGACCAAAGGATTGAGAACTAGAACCTCTCCCATTACGTTCACTCCAACGGGGGCTGCATAGGCTGACACGTTGCAGCCTGCTAGCGATTAAACTGTCCCAGCCAAACTCCAGGACTGGAGAAGCCAGGGCTGTGAACAACAGAAATCACACTGAAGACCAAGTTAGATTAGCCAGGAATGAACATGTCAGCCACCAGTCATAATTTAAAAGAAGAGCCAACTAGACTAGGGTGTAGATGGGCAAAAAGGAGATAGAAGGAAACTGAAAAACCATTCTCTACCACTCTAACCTATGGTTTTTCCAGTAGTCATGTATGGATGTGAGAGTTGGACTGTGAAGAAAGCTGAGCACTGAAAAATTGATGTTTTTGAACTGTGGTGTTGGAGAAGACTCTTGAGAGTCCCTTGGACTGCAAGGAGATCCAGCCAGTTCATCCTGAAGGAGATCAGTCCTGGGTGTTCATTGGAAGGACTGATGCTGAAGCTGAAACTCCAGTACTTTGGCCACCTCATGTAAAGAGCTGACTCATTGGAAAAGACCCTGATGCTGGGAGGGATTGGGGGGCAGGAGGAGAAGGGGACGACAGAGGATGAGGTGGTGAATGGCATCACCGACACGATGGGCATGAGTTTGAGTAAACTCCGGGAGTTGGTGATGGACAGGGAGGCCTGACATGGTGCGATTCATGGGGTCGCAAAGAGTCAGACACAACTGAGCGACTGAACCAAACTTCTTAACCAGGGGACATGGTGAAGGTCCCTGGTCCATGTCTGAAGATGGACCAAGGACCCTCAGTAGAAATAAAGCACAGTGCTCGCCTCACAGGAGACTGGTCAGAGCTGAGCATTACAAACCAGTTTGGCACCCAAATGCCACAGTAGTTTTTGTAAAGCTAAACCTACCTACCTGGAGCAAGAAGGAGTCTTGGAAATACACTGGACCGCATGGGCAGTTCCCGATTCAGAACATTCTAGAAGCCTTTGGGGGTTGTGAAACTTCAGGTGTCTTTTGCTGCCTCTGGTGGAACACTACCTGTCTTTTCTGATAAAGGGCACTGCTGGACTTTGGACCCAGTGGGAAGCCAAAGGCTTCCTCGGCCCCCCAAGTTGGCCAGACTGGGCTGGCTAGGGGCTCTGTGGTGTGGAATGCTCTTCCTTCCTCACAAATCTGGAGCACTCTTCATATTTAATACTCCATCCTTCTAGCTGAAGTGGGAAACACAGTAGGTTAGAAAGTTAATAATAAGAAAAGTCCAAGGCCAGGAAGGAGGGAGCTAGTGCTCTGTCCGGCCTGACAAACGTCTCTGGGCGCCTGGGAGGAGGTCTGCCCGTGCTCTGCGGTCCCTCGCTCTCCTGCACGCTGCTCTGGCTTGAGGCCCCCAACAACCTGCCCGGGCCGCTCCAGGGGCCAAGCAGAACCCGTTACCCCAGCAGCCGCCTCTGTCTAAATTCAGAGATGCAGAGCCCGAGTCTGGGATGTGGCCCCGGGCCAGGCGCTCCTGGAGCGAGCAGGCTGGCAAGTGGGCAGAGGGAGTAAGGTGCCCTGGACCTGTTTCCTCATCGGCAAAGGGAAACGAAGGGGGCTCCCCAGGGAACGCCAGTCGCCACGGGCCCAGAACTGCGGCAGGTCCGGCCTCCGCCGCGCGCCGCCTCCCCATTGCGCCCCCCGAGCCCGGCCCCCAGCACCTACTTCCCCGAGCCGCTCACGCCCATCACCAGCAGCACGTCGGGCGCCGCCATCACGGGCCCCGAGTCCCTCCATCTGCGGTCCTCTTCGCCCAGCCTCTCTCCATCGCCCTTGCAGGCCGGACCCTCCTGCTCCTCCTCCACCAATGAGCTTTAGAAAGAGCTTTAGTTTATTTATTTTTTTATTTTTTTAATGTAAAAGTAATAAGCAGAAAATAAATAACACTTTACCACACCACGCGGCAGCAAGCATCAGTTCCCCCGTCCTGTATAGATAAACGGGTAGGAATATTGCTTGAAATTAGGATAGGGCTGTACACAGTGTTTTGTAACCTGGTATTTTGTCACAATAATACAAGGCAGATTTCTTTTGATGTCAAATATAGAGTGGGCCGTAGCGGCACATGTTATTATGGCTCTGCTATTTAATCTGCTTCCTGTTCTCGGGTAAATTACTTAAGCGGAAGAAGCACCCCCTTTAAAGGACCCTTTTGCTTTAAAGCAATGTGTTAATTTTGTGCTATTTAAGATGTTTGATTAAAAGGACGTCCAACGACATTCTGCCCAACTTCCATTGTTTCCCAAGTTCATACTACTCTGTGTCTTTGAAAACAATGAAGCTGACATAAAAGCATTTAATCAGTATGTCGATTACCTCTGCACTTTTTTTCTTACTTAGCCCAAGTAGGTGACATTTCAGTGTTCCTGGATAGAGTCTGTACAGATGAAGTACCTGAGACCTGGAGAGACAGGTGACTTGGGTAAGGGCTTATAGTTCAGTTGTGCTTGAAGAACATTTTGTGAACACCTACCATCCACAGAATTCCGAAGGTGAATGTCGTAATTCTCCAGGTGCTCCCTGGCAGGTAGGGGGGAATAGATGTGTAAGCACAGGTGTGACTTGTGCTCTGCTTTACCAGCTCAGGTAAAAAAAAGTGTTCACATTTCTCTCAAAGTTCAAATCAGAACGATCAGCAGAAAGTCTGGTTCTTCTGCCCAGATATCCAACCCAAGACATGTCCAAGGACCTCATAGTTTCTGTACTAGTCAGGGTGGTGACGGGAAACAGCACATTCAAGTTGGGTCATTTGAAAAGGGTTCAACAAAGGTACTCTTTTCAGAGATGCAGGTGAGATCAATGAAAGCAGCGGGATCTCGGTAAGTGAGGGGAGATGTGAGGGGGCAATAGAAGGGAGTCTTTATTGGGCTAGTCTGGGGGCAGAGACAGAGGGGAGAGGAGAGAGAAAGAGCACATACTATGTGGATAGACAAGTCTGAAGTGAAATGTGGCCTCAGAAAGAGAGAAGGATACCCCTCTTGACCCAACAGGGGAGGAATCAGGAGAATAAATGACCTCCCCTTCCCTTCTCCTGCACTCTGATCTGCTAGTGACCAAACCCCACGGGCCAATCCCAACTGGAAGGCAGAGAGCCAGGGAGTCTGTTGAGTTGGCCCATGCATACCAGTCTCCCAGGCACAGAGCCGGGAAGAGAGGGTGGGAAAGTGTATCTGAGTGATGGAATAAAGAAAAGATACCCAGCACTGTTTTTCTCAAGAGTCAGTGAATTAATCCTCCTGCACTTGCCTCCAGGACATCAGAACTCCCAGGTGATGCTAAGGGCTGAACTTCATATTTTTTACCTCTGAGAGGACCACCTACTGGTCCTAGTTGTCGCAGGGCTTCCAGCTGTTGAGCAACCAGAGGCCCAACCTTGGTCTGATGTTAGGTCCTGTCTGTCTACTGCAGAATTGCTGTACTNCTCCCAGGTGATGCTAAGGGCTGAACTTCATATTTTTTACCTCTGAGAGGACCACCTACTGGTCCTAGTTGTCGCAGGGCTTCCAGCTGTTGAGCCACCAGAGGCCCAACCTTGGTCTGATGTTAGGTCCTGTCTGCCTACTGCAGAATTGCTATACTAGCTGAGGCACATGATGCCTGGAAGCCTAAAGAGACTCTTGGCAAGCCACTGGTTCCTGCGAGTGTTACTACAGTGACCCAGGTCCAGATCACCCCCAGACTGAGGACAGCCGGCACTGTGAGTCTTGTGCAGTAATGGCGGCAGTGGAAAGGCTCCTGTAGGCACCTCGCAGTCCATGGGGGTTAGCTGGGGTGTGTGTGTGGGGGGGGTCGGGGAAGGGAGGAGCATCTTCTCACAATGCACACAAGCAATTCCTGGGAAGCAAAGCAGCTGTCAGGATGGCTGGGAAGGGCAGCTTTCCCATTAAAGTGGCCTCACATCTGACAGGTCTCATTAAGAAGAGGTTTCATCTGCACCTCTTCCCTTCCAGACGGTCTTTGATCTTGGTTGAATTTTGAGAATTCCAATAATTGCATGGAAGCGCTCTACATGCCAAATCGCAGGTCTTAACCAAGCCCCAAAGTAGACTATTGTACCTTCTTCTGGAAGTAATGGTTGTAAACTTGCTTCACATGTTCATAATTTAAAAGGGTCACTCAAAGGGCCCAGAACAAACTTTGGACAAAGGCAAGATGATTTTTGCTACCTCAGTAGATGCAGAAAAGGCATTTGAAAAATTCAAAATCTCTTCATGATACAAATACTTAACACACTAGGACTACAAATACTCAGCCTGATAAAGAGCATCTATGGGCCCCACAGCAGATGTTTTACTCAATGATAAAAGACTGAATGTTTTCACTATGGTTAGGAACAAGGAAGGGCGTCTGTTCTCACCACTTCCATTCAACATTCTGTTGGAGGTTCTAGCCAAGGCAATTAGACAAGAGAAAGCAAAAAAAAAAAAAAAAAAAAGGAAAAAANAAGAAAAAAAAAAAAAAAAAAAAGGCACCCAGATTAGGAAGGAATAAGTAGGGACTTCCCTGGTGGTCCAGTGGCTAAGACTCCACACTCCCAATGCAGGGAGCCCAGGTTTGGTCCTTGGTCAGGGAGCTGGATCCCACTATGCCATAACTAAGAGTTCTCATGCCACCGTTAAAGATCCCTTGTGCCACAACTAAGACACAGTGCAGCCAAGTAATTTTTTTTTTAAAGAAAGAAATAAGTAGGATTATACTTCCAGATGGCATGATGTTGTATACAGAAAATTCTGAGGCATCTACAAGGACCCTATTAGAACTAATAAATTAGTTCAGCCAGGTTTCAGGCCACAAGGTCAACATTAAAAAGCAATTACATATAAAAAACAATTATATTTCTATACACCAGCAATGAACAATCTGAAAAAGAAATTAAAAAGAAAAACCCTATTTATAACAGCATCAAAAAGAACAAAATAATTAGGAAAAAGTTTAATAAAAGAAGTACAAAATTTATACTCTGATTATATATGGGATATGAGAAATTAAGAACACTCATCCTAACTTCCATTAGAAATGTAAACTGATATCACCTCTCTTGACAGTTTGGCATGATAGAATAAAGCTGAATAGGTATATACTCTGTAATTCTGCAATTTTATTTCTAGGTTAACACTTGAGGATATAAGTACACAAATGTACAAGAAGCTGTGTTCATAATAGCTGGAAACAGAATATCCATCAGCAATGAGATGGTTTAATAACATTGCATATTCAAGTAATGAAATATTATATAGTCAATAATATAAAAAAGCATATCAAAACCATAAAGGGTTAGTCGCTCAGCTGTGTTTGATTCTTTGCGGCCCTGTGAACTGTAGTCCATCAGACTCGTCTGTCCAGGGAATTCTCCAGGCAATAATACTGGGCTGGTAGCCATTCCCTTCTTCAGGGGATCTTCCTGAATCAGGGATCGAACCCATGTCTCCCGCATTGCAAGCAGATTCTTTACTGTCTGAACCAACGGGGAAGTGCCTAATGCTGATTAGAAGAATTAGATGTATGCAATTACCATTTCTTTTTTAAAAATGAAATTAAGCAATATGTTTACATTCTAAAGATATATATATATACATATAAGAGAACTTTGCAGAAAAGCAAGAGAATGATTAACCTAAAATTCAAGACAATGGGAGTCGGAAGGGACACAGAACATCTTCTGGTTAACTGGCAGTATTCTGTTCTTAACATAGACATTGTATAGTGTGATGGTTAATTTTATGTGTCAACTTGACTGGACTGAGAGTTGCCCAGATACCTTGTAAAGTATTATTTTGTGTATGTTGTGGGAGTGTTTGCAGAAGAGATTAACATTTTACTTGATAGACTGAGTAAAGCAGTTCGTCCTTGCCAGTGTGAGTGGGTATCATTCAGTCCATTGAGGGCCCAAATAGAACAAAAACAAGGAAGAAGGGCTTGTGGAATATCAGTTTGCTGAGATCAAAACCCGGGCCCATGGGAGTCCAAGCGCCAAGTCTTAACCATTGGACTGCCGGAGAATTTCCTAATTTGCTCTTAAAAAAAAAAAAATCAATCCTAGTAAAATATATAATGTGAAATTTATCATATTAACTATTTTGAAGTGTGAGTTCAGCAGTGCGGAGTATATTCACAGGTCTCCAGAACTTTTCCATCTTGCAAAATAGAGTGATTTTTTTAGAGCTGTATGTCTTAAGTGTTAGCAAATAGCATCACCCTGATTTGGTGCTCTGTTTTAGCAACGTATTATTTCTGCATGTCTGAGCCAAAGCCTTTGACTATGTGGACCACAACAAACTCTGGAAAATTCTTAAAGAAATGGGAATACCAGACCACTTAATCTGCCTCTTGAGAAACCTGTATGCAGGTCAGGAAGCAACAGTTAGAACTGGACATGGAACAACTGACTGGTTCCAAATAGGGAAAGGAGTACATCAAGGCTGTATATTGTCAACTTGCTTATTTAACTTATATGCAGAATACAACATNNNNGAAGAATTGATGCTTTTGAACTGTGGTGTTGGAGAAGACTCTTGAGAGTCCCTTGGACTGCAAGGAGATCCAGCCAGTCCATCCTAAGGGAGATCAGTCCTGGGTGTTCATTGGAAGGACTGATGCTGAAGCTGGAACTCCATTACTTTGGTCACCTGATGAGTAGAGCTGACTCATTTGAAAAGACTCTGATGCTGGGAAAGAGTGAAGGCAGGAGGAGAAGGGGATGACAGAGGATGAGATGGCTGGATGGC